GTCATGTCTGCCTGTCATGTCTGCCTGTCATGTCTGCCTGTCATGTCTGTCTGTCATGTCTGTCTGTCATGTCTGTCTGTCATGTCTGTCTGTCTGTCATGTCTGTCTGTCATGTCTGTCTGTCATGTCTGTCTGTCATGTCTGTCTGTCATGTCTGTCTGTCATGTCATGTCTGTCTGTCATGTCTGTCTGTCATGTCTGTCTGTCATGTCTGTCGGTCATGTCTGTCGGTCATGTCTGTCGGTCATGTCTGTCTGTCATGTCTGTCGGTCATGTCTGTCTGTCGGTCATGTCAGTCTGTCGGTCATGTCTGTCGGTCATGTCTGTCTGTCATGTCTGTCTGTCATGTCTGTCTGTCATGTCTGTCTGTCATGTCTGTCTGTCATGTCTGTCTGTCATTTCTGTCTGTCATGTCTGTCGGTCATGTCTGTCAGTCATGTCTGTCGGTCATGTCAGTCTGTCGGTCATGTCAGTCTGTCGGTCATGTCTGTCGGTCATGTCTGTCTGTCATGTCTGTCTGTTATGTCTGTCTGTCATGTCTGTCTGTCATTTCTGTCTGTCATGTCTGTCTGTCATTTCTGTCTGTCATGTCTGTCTGTCATGTCTGTCTGTCTGTCATGTCTGTCTGTCATGTCTGTCTGTCTCTCATGTCTGTCTGTCTGGCATGTCTGTCTGTCTGTCATGTATGTCTGTCTGTCATGTCTGCCTGTCATGTCTGTCTGCCATGTCTGTCTGTCTGTCATGTATGTCTGTCTGTCATGTCTGTCTGTCATGTCTGTCTTTCATGTCTGTCTGTCATGTCTGTCTTTCATGTCTGTCTTTCATGTCTGTCTGTCGTGTCTGTCTTTCATGTCTGTCTTTCATGTCTGTCTGGCTGTCGTGTCTGTCTGTCATGTCTGTCTGTCTGTCATGTCTGTCATGTCTGTCTGTCATGTCTGTCTGTAATGTCTGTCATGTCTATCTGTCTGTCTGTCTGTCTGTCTGTCTGTAATGTCTGTCTGTCTGTCTCTCTGTCTGTCTGTAATGTCTGTCTGTCTGTCATGCCTGTCTGTCATGCCTATCTGTCATGCCTATCTGTCATGCCTGTCTGTCATGTCTGTCTGTCATGTCTGTCATGTCTGTCATGTCTGTCATGTCTGTCTGTCATGT